GATGAATCATGTTCCCAATAGCAAACTAGGTTTAATAACATTATAACAACAGTTACACCAAAAATAAATGAAGGCTTCCAACCAGGTGTAATAACAACATCTAAACAGACATAATAACTATAACAACTTGTATTGCCAACATCAATACCCAAAAATATATGAAGTATTTTAAGCAGGTATAGTAACATTACTATTAGCATTTTAACAACAGGTTTAATCATTGGCATTTTCAAAATTTTGAACTGATGTGATTGTTGCAGTAGTTTTAAATAAGAAATTAAGTTCGACATTGCAACACGCCAGCAACTAACAACTAAACATTAAATTATAGTTTTCATAGCAGTGTTCATTATAGACATCAATTATCTGATAACATAATTTTCTTAACCTTCTCCTTGAACTTGGTTTATTGCTAAAGTTAGAATATATTCATTCACAGCTTCAAGTTTATGGTCAAGTAACACTTCAATAAATAAAAATATAAAGTTGTGCTCTTAAACATTTGAGACTTTACTTTTTGAAGATATTAATTAAAGTAAGAGCTAAATGATATTACACCCTGGTCTCCATAAAACTAATCATTTGCACAAACTAAAGCATAAACAATGTCATGTTTAAGTACACTTTGATATTGATCTAAGATTCTACCACTATTGCTGAAGGCACTTTCGAAGGTTACTATTGTTATGGGAATATGCAATATGTTACAAGCCATTGCAGAAACCTCGGGGAATCTATGTTGATTGCCTTTCCATAAATGTAAAACATTTAACTAAATTTTCCTATCAAGTTTGGGTTTATCAAGATATATTTACAATCCTGACTTTTTTAGACATAATAACATCTTATTCAAATGAATCAAAATCTTGTTTGTTAAACGAAGAGTTGAATCAACATGAAAGATGGAGTAACTATAAATGGAAAAACAATTGCTAGAAGAAATTGTGACTTAATTACAATAGAAGAAGAGAGGTTTGATACATTAGAATGTCTCCTTTGTGTTGCATTTGAACCTACCCTAGATGCAACATTTCCAATAGTCCTTGTATAGTTTGTGAATAATGAGAAAATTTATTTTTTACTTTTTTTAGTTCATACACAAAATCACTTTCATACAACCTTCTATTGTACCATTCTATGAATGTAAATTTATATCATGGATCAAGAAAAATTGTTATTGCCAAGATCACACTAAAGTCTGGCCAATATTTTTCAAAATTTCTAATCATCCCTAAAGTCATTTTTTTAAGTAGTCAAAGCCCTCTAACAATTTATGTAACAATGTTACATAAGTTGTTGAAATTCATGAAAAGTAAAGATTTGTTGTTAGGTACTTTGCGATAGATATAACATGTTATATCATAGAAATGAGCTAAGAAAATAGAAATAGCCGCAACCCTCTCCCATTTTAAAGTTGTAGGACAATATTTGAAATTTGAATCACCAAACTCTACATGTAGAAAAGCCTTTCGATAGTATCTAGTACTATAGGGTATTATGAAAGTGGAATTCTACCTTGTTGGCACATCTTATTGTGAACTTTTTTTTTATTTCAAACAACTCTGCTTAACACGATCAAGAAATCTTTATTTCCTTATCTGAGAGCCCTTTACATATTTTATACTCTCCCTAATTTTGGAGATTGAGGCATCAATCTCTTTTAGACCCTCTTGAACAATTAAATTAACAATATGTGTAGTACATCTGATATGAAAAAAAACTCACCTTCACATAGAAGACCACTATGCAAATTCAATTGATTTCTTAAGAACTCTACAAAACATTATTTGCAGAAGCGTTGTCTAATGTGGTTCTTAAAAGTTTAGAGTCTATTTTTCATTCAAGCAAAAGAGATTACAATTTCTCAAACAACGCTATACCATCATGAGGGGTGGTATGAAAGAAAAAACTATATAAAAGCAAATAAATTTATCAGTAATTATAGATGTCCATTGATTTGATGTAACACAAACTTTGCCGGCGCACTTATATAATTATGACCGGATATAAGAAAGTTCTTTAGTGAGTAATTTCTTGCAATAATTTCTTTTAGTATTCTTATAAAATAGTTGCACATCCAGGTGAAGATAGGTCGTCAAAATAGCTCGAAAACCCACCCATTCAACATATTGGAAGGACAAATCATGCATAATAATACAAACTATAAATAAACCATGAAATTCTACCAAGTCAAACTTATAATATGTAATATGAATAGATGAATTAAAGGTAGTTTACAATAGGAGCTGGGCGATAATGCACATATCTCTTATCTTGCAATTTTGCAAGTGGAACCTTAAGTTAACAGTCCAATTTTTTCTATCACATAGATATTGCACACCATGTTTTTTACATTTATATTTTTGTTTACCATCTTTTGGATTAGATAACATCTTAAAATGACCCCTAATTGCATAAATTATCCTTTTACGCTTCTTAACAATTACCAAATCATCATTACATGCATCATCAGATAGCTCTACCATATTATTAGTAATGCCAACTTGCTCATTCTCATAAAAAAATATCTCATGAATGATGTTTGAATCCTCTATCTAGTGAACCAATTAAACCACATTATATAAAACAAAAATGCTAAATATGAAAGACTATTTCCTAAATATCAAACAGGTGCAAAAAATAACAGCATCGATATAGTGCAAAGAAATAAAAACAACACGTATTATAACAATTACAACATGTATCACAAAGAGTGCAACAATAAGATGAAGCTTTTACTGCATAATAACGATGAATTTTATCTCAATGATTCATGATTCAAGAATTTCAAATTCAAAATTTATCCCCGCCACTAACCACGTACCACTATCACAGACTCAAAGTCACAGACAGACTCACATATGACATACTAACTACATTGTATTAATTACATGTCTATAATAATTCCCTAATCTTGATGCCATTGCCACATAACTACATACTTATAATTTATAAATCCATAAAGCAATAAAGCATAATGCTGATGTAGAGAGGTAAGAAAGCCTTAAAAATTTTTTGATCAAACTGAAGTAGCATGGCTAGTAAATAATGAGAAGATCAAGGGTAGGTTAGAGTGTTTTAGATGGATTGTCGATATTGATTAACTTGATCATATACTATTTATTGGGCATTTGAGTGCCTTAATGATGTTGGAATTCTACAATCTTGAGCTTGTTGGATTAGTCTAATCAAGCCCCTCAATTTGACTATAAGCATATCATATTTAAAAATCATTTGATTATCCAATTTATGCTTAACCTTATAAATAAGCTTCGGGCCCTTGATTTGGACCCAGATTAAATTGAATTTGGTGTCGTTGGGTTCATATTTTCGAGACATTCAGTTCAACTATAAGTTGGCTGAAATTAGAGTTTGGATGGCCCCATAATTAATTTTAGAAGTTTTCAATTCAAATTTGCCTCGTGATTCGTGCTCGATCAAGATAATTTTTTATGATATATCAATTACCCATATTTTTAGATGTCGTAACTCAAAGAATTTGAAAATATGTGATTGTTGGAGTATAAAATATTAAAAATCTCATTTAGAAACCTTTGAAATCGCTCAAAAATAAATGTAGAGTTTTTGTTAGGCTTTGAAAGTGTCAAAATTGAGTTCATAACATCGAAAAACTGTTCCAGGGACTCCAAAAGCTTCCAAGTTGGACTATCAAGGCCGAAAATTAGGCTTGGACCTAAAATTGGCCTACATGCTCTGCTTGCGCGTTGGCCCGCTAGCTTCCTAGCCTTTGCTTGACCTGCACATAAGGCCAACTTGGGCCACTCATGCGACCCACCTAGGCAATGTTCTTTGGCCTGCCCAAGTTCAAGAACGTGGGCGATTAGTTAAGTTGTGGGCAGGTTGGAGTCATGGGCCAGTAGTGGAGGAAGTGATTAAAGTGGATATATATATATAAGTTTTATTAATTCTTCTTTTTTTTTCAAATAAAACTTTATAATATAATTATAATTTTAATAAAATAATAATACTAAAATAATAATTTTATTTCAAATAACTTACTTTACTCCTCCAACTCCCCATTTTGACTATAAAGTGAAGTTGTGTTCATGTATAGGTGGTATATTAAGTTCTAAGACCTCTCTCTCTGTAGAAGGAATCCCTTCTTCCTTCCACCCATTCCCCTTTAGACTTCTACCTATATAAGAGGCTTTCCTTTGTTTTAGATATGTGACATACCTGATCTAATTATAGGGCCTATCCCTATACAAAAGTCATTACAAGTGAACACCCCTCTCTGACAGATCTAATGACCAAGGGAGACTCACATCCTGCTGCACATAATGATGGTAAGAGGAGGTCCTGCAAGACGGGTAAGGCTGATGATGTTGTGTCCACCATTACCAACGATTCCTTGATTAATTTTCACAAGAAATTCTATTTTCCTAACGATCTCATGGTGATGGCTCCAAAAAGATCTAATCAGGCGTGCCTTCCTCCTCCAGGATACCTACCTATCTACAAAATCAATTTGCCAGCGAGACTATGATTTCCACCAAACTATGTCAAAAGTTTGACTCTAATGATGAGTTACAACTTAAAGCCACCCACTTTATAACCCTCATCTAAGGAATTGCAAAACTAACATTGTATTACTTTGTCCAAGTCAAATTCTTCACTCTATCTTACTTCCCAACAAACATGTCAATAAACTCAAATGAAGGCAATAACATTAAGACTTCATTTAGAATAACTTTCTTCCTAATTCAAAATAATTTTTAAGTAAAAAAAATTATTGCGCTAAAAATTTAGTACTAAAAATTTACTTACAAAAAATTATAAAAAAACTATCCCAAACAAAACCTAAATCAAGAATGCTCCACTCAAATCATCCTACAACCCCAATGTGCTTTGCAATATCTAGCAAAAAAATACTCAACACTCACAGTAAAGAAATCATTCCAAACAAAATCAAACATAAAGTAAGAAGATATTTGGAAATCAAGAACAGCAGAGAGGAGTGTTCTGTAAGAAAATTACACTTCAAATAAGGATTTAAATGATTTTAAAGAAACTAAGGGAGAGACATTTTTTATCCTAAACTTATAATTTAACGAAACTTTGATGTTATTCGTAACATTTGAGAGGATTTATTTCAAAACTAAGGGGTCCAAAAGCCACCCCAAATCTTTCCCTGATGCTGCCACAAACTGAGAGTACTAACACAGCACAACAATTGAGAGTCCCAGAAAATTTAGATTAGCATATCATGATCTGAATTTAATTAGATGAATTTTATCTCTATTAAACTTAATTTAAGATGAATGTACTATATGATTAATCAGTTTAAATTCATCTCAAAATAAATTTAATGACTATAAAATTCATTTTGATCAAATTTAATTCATAATATTCTAATCCTAATTTATTTTTCTTGAAAGCCATATTTTCCTTTTGCCACCCCCATATGCGCGGTGCTTTGATGCACTCTCAGAGTTCATCCTGCAGAGAAATTAATTGAATCTTAAACATAAAAAAAGAAGCAAAGCAACTGAAAAGTTCATTAAGGCTTCGTTTGGGACAACTTTCTTACTGCTTTTTAAAGCAACTTTTTAATAGAAAATTTAAATTTTTGTACTAGAAAGTTGTTTTAAGAAACAATAAAAAAGCCGTCTCAAATGAAGCTTTAGATTTCATTTGGAACAGTTTTTATTGTTTTATACAACAACTTATTAGCACAAAATTTTTTTGCAAGTAGCAAAAAAATAATGGCCAAAAAATTGTCTCAAACGAATCCAAAGATGAATGTTTCATTTGAGACAGCTTTTGATTACTATTTTTTCGCTATTTAAAAAAAAATTGTACTAAGAAAATACTTTAGAAAATAGTAAAAAAAACAGTTCCCAACAAAGCCGAAAACAAATATGAGAAAAAAATAAATTAGTAGAACTTACATGATAATCATCAAAATCATGGTGACGCTGCAATAAAACACAAGAGTTAGCGGACATATGAAGCATTTTTTAATTATCAACACATGGCAATTTAAGGCTTCGTTTGGGACGACTTTGTTTCAGCTTTCTATTAAAAAAATTAAAATTTTTATATAAAAAACTGTTTTAAAAAGCAGTAAGAAAGCTGCCCCAAACGAAGCCTAAGAGAGAAGGCTTATCATCATCAAACTGAAAGCAAGTTCTACTGGAATCAGGCCACAAGCAAAGATCAGGCTAGACCAACATACCCTTCTGTATCTATCCCTGTATCTCTCCTTTTCTCGATAACGCCGATCATATCCTCTCTCCCTTCGGCGTCTCTCGCCTTCTTCCCTTGCCTTCTGTGCTTCCTGCACAACAATTATCAAAATTTACATCAATAGCAAAGCAATCCATCTTTTATTTGCAATCAGCGCTTTGTTCTCACCACTTCTTCTTTAGCTCGTCTAATTTTCTCTGCCTCCTCAAAGGCCTCCTTCTCAGCCTGAATTGAGCGAAACAAAAATAATATGAGAAGTTAAAATTCAAAGTAGAATTTAACATTTGGTAACATGCATCTCTACCTCTCTATTTTTTGTCCAAATCTCTTCTACAACTTGCTTTGCATATTCTGGGTCATCGCATATAAGAACATTGTCAAAAACTGAGCCAGCCTTTACCTGTATATTTTTATCATGAATATCACATCAAGTTGTAAGTTAATTCAACTATGTTTGATGTGCTCCCTCACCTGCCATACTTCAAAAGCAACATATTTGACAGGCTTAAGCACATAGAGGTCAGGATCATCTTCAAATTCTGCGAGTTGAGATAAAAAGTTAGCAAAAGAAATAAGCTGTCTTGGATCCGTATGTAATGTCATCTTTTGCCGTGTTGTGTGCTTCATAGTGCAATCCTACTCTGTTGAATAAAGATGATTGTTTGATAAAATCATGTTAAAATTATTGACTATACTGCTTTAAGGATTGTAGTTATTTAACAAATAATTACTAATTGAGTGATATGACCTTTGATATCCAAAGTAGAGGTCACAAATTTGAATCTCTACAAAAATAGTAATTAGAAAGTTTCCGAACCATGCGGGAGCTGTTTAGGAATGTTCTTAATCAAGAGGAATTGTTTATGAAAGTTTTAATTACAATTGGGATGAAATTATTTAGGACAACAAATCTAATTTGAATGCAAAATCTAAGAGATAATTATTTAGGAAAAGGGAGGATGAATAAAGGGGAAATTGTTTAGAAAAATTTTAATTACAATTGGGAGGGAATTATTTAGGACAAGAGATCTGATTTGAATTCAAATATGAGACGGAATTCTTAGGGAAAGGGGGCTACTTTGGGAGAAAATTAAATGAGCTTATTTAAGGCTAACAATAGGATGATTTCGGGATTATGATGTTATTTGCTAAATTTAGATTGATCTTAGGGAGTTTTAGGCTCTAGCCGGTGGCTAGGGATTTAGGAGAGTCAGATCTACCTCTCCAATAGAAGATCCATTGTACTTGTTATTTTCTTCCGTATATCATCAAATAAATTTTTTTTCTTATTATTACTCTTAATTCCTCTTGGAGATTGTGTTTAGGATTGCTGTAATTTAATTTCAGCCAAGAGAAAGAGGATTTTTACTGGCAGTTTCTATCAGAACCATTTCAAGAAAGTTGGGTTTTTAGATTTCATACAGCTGAAATTTCTCTTCAGCAGTACGGGCCAATTTGTTTCACCATAAATGTTTGGATCTTAGTTATGAAAATCAGTTGCATTGAAGTTACAATTATATGTTTGTTTTGTAGGAACGCATTAATTAGAGTCAGGGGTGGATTAAGTACCCCCCACTCCCTCCACCCCCAAATTAGAAATATGTTTACTAGATTCGGCCTCCCATGACTCCCGCCCTCGACATTTTGTGTTTTTCTTTATTAATAGCTTAGAATTATGATTTGCCCTAATTCCTCTGCCACATCCACTTGGACCTCGTTCGCCTAATCGCTCCTCAGCAACTACCAGCCGAGTGTTTGCAGTGCTCAACCCACGACTAGCCGAACTCGCCATTGCAAGCAAGTTGCAGCATCATAGGTATGTTTATATAATAGTATAATGCAATTCTAATTTTCAGGCCATTCATTTACTCTGAAATAATATTAAATGCAATATAATGTTATTATGAACTTTCTCTTTCTTCCACTCATCTCTCTTATTTATTTTTAAGGGTGAAACTTCATAACTTGTTCTGCATAACTGATTTTACTCCTACGGATATGATGATTTTTGATAATCAATTAAAAACTTATGTTATGGATATTTGGTATGATTAGTAATTTTCTTCCTTTAAAGATGTTGCAAGCCTTGTCGAGAAAATGATCCAGAGTATGAATGATGCTCTATATTCACTTATTTTCAAGCTATTGGAACTGACATTAATGTTACTAGTTGCAATAGCAGGAGTCGAAAGAACATTTTCTACTATAAGTATTATAAAAATTTGACTGAAAAATATAATTAAGAATTAATAGCTGAACAATACTTTACTCTCTTATATTGAGCAAGAAATATTAAATTGTATTGACAATGAAATAATCATTCAATTCTTTCATAATATGAAAAACAGACATAAATTATAAGTTTTTTTTTATCATTTTATATTTAATATTTTATTTTTTTAATAATAAATTCAACATTTTTTTTTAATTGTCAATGTTGGTCCAAACCTAAATAAAAAAAAAGTTTAGGAAGATTTTAAAATATATATTTTAGGCCCTGGCTACGAAAAAGTTATGGCTGCTTAGAGCCTATGATGCACATATACGAACGCAGGACACGTTAATTGTTGAAAATATAACACAATATTATAATTTCTACGAAAAATTTATCGACGTCAAACGTTTGATGTCGAGATGACATCGAAAATTATTTTGAAACCAGTCACGACATGCCAAAGGGAAATGAAAATAAGAATATTCGATGAATGTAGTATTAAGTGCGGATGATTGATTTGGTGTTGTGGATAGAAAATAAGAAATTTATTTTTGATATTTTAAATAAATAAAAAGTTTAAATACAAGAAATTATGTTTAAAAAAATTCATAAAATATTTAAGACACACGTGTCTAATTTTTATTTAATTTTTTTTAATCGGACACATTTTTAGAATGTCCAATACATGTCGAAGGCATGTCAGATGCATGTCATGTCGAATACATGTCAGACACTACACGCCTCTTTGAGGAAAATTGTCGGTGCATCATAGCTTAGAGCTCATTTCTTACATTTGTTTAAGCTGCAATAAATTCTATTTTTATCCACCTCACATTAATTTTTCATTATTTTATTATTATTTTAAACAAAATTAACATTCTAACTCATCATCAAATTAATTCAATATTAATCCATTGTTATTGAAAGCTAAAACAAAATTGAAAGTGACTTCCTAGCTCTCAAGTCAAGATTGGAACACCTCACATTTTTGATAAGTTAAAAAAATATAAGAATTTGATTACAACCAATTTTAGCTAAACAAATATTTGGTTTCATAATAGAGATTTCATCACTTATAGATGCTTAAATTGAAACAAATTCACCATTACGCCAAGCACATTAAAATTTCTTCTCATGTTTAAGGAAGCAAATCAAACAATAGAAAGCCATATCGTCTAAAGGAGCCTAAGGAGATAAAATAATTTAAGTGTTCGGAAAATGCATATCACCATTAATCTCAACTTACCTGGATTGTCAATCCATGGAGTCTTCCATTTTCCCTTATAGTTTGGGTTTTTGATCTTCTGTAATTTTCAAGATTTGTAACTGGTGAGAATAATCGCTAAAATTTTTTATATGAATCAAGTGCATAACTACCAGAGATTTTTTTATTTTTATTTTTTTTGCAGAAACAGAAGTGAACGTTAAGGAGCAATGAACACCCCGTGGCAACTACTAAAGAAAATCCTGAACAAACCTTTGGTTTCCATGGCCCCTTGTATGCTGGATTTGGGATCTTTGGCGGCTTCCATATTCCATCTTCATCTTCATCCCATGTATCAGGCTAATTGAACAGAATTAAGAAAGAATTAATTTCAGAATGCATGACAAACAAATTTTCCACTATTACAATGTCCAAGGTTTTATTGCAGATTATACAGTGAGAAGTATCCGACAATAGCATTTATTACAACTACTTTACGAACACAATTGTGCACCTTTTTAGCTTTCGGGTCAGGAATTTCAGTTCGAATAGAATCATATCCCTGCATTACATTTATACATCGTAAGAAAAAAAAAAATGCATCACTTTCAGAAGAAAAAATGTATTAAATCCGCATGCAACCTCAGGTTTAACATCATCAGGATCGTCGATGTATTCCCTGTCATCCCAGTCTGCAGGCTGAAAGTAATGTCATACACATTAGAGGAAGCAAATGAAAAATAAAATGTTGATTAGCAATTGAAGATTTTTGGTTAGTAAGAATAGAGCATTGTTATACCCTTTTAGCATTTACAGCTTTAATCTTCCGAGGAGGAAGAATATCCCAGTCAGAATAAAGGCTTCCAGATTCTCTTTCTCGATTATCGACCAGGACGCTATAAGAGGCATCAGGTCTAAGAATAAATGTGTAGAAATGAGTCAATTTATCTGTCTCACACTGCAGATCCTTCTTGACGGGATAGTTCTGTCCCTGGTAAGAATATATCAGATGAAGCTTCTTTGTATCGGTACCGCATATATCAGGTCCAAACATTAAACTGCATAAGAGAACATGATCACCTTAGATCAATTGTCCGAAGTACTTAATCATTTGTTGTATTTCAAAAAGTGTGCACATAAATGAAGGTATACATTATAGAAAACAAAGTCGAGTTCAAAATATGTTCTTTCCATGTCATCATAATACGTTTACCTACTTCTAAACCATGAAAGATTATAGAATAAATGAATGAGTACTCTTTCTGAGCCAAATAAAAAAAATATGTTCTTTCCATATCACCATAATACGTTTACATACATACTGCCTTATACTTACTCTATTAACACATTTAACACATTAAACGCTAATATTACATACATACCATCATAGTTCATTTTCATATCAAATATGAGTGGTAGAAATGAAAATTATGAGTGGTAGGCAAGAAATATAGGGTGGTATATATGAAATATTAAAATTTTTAGTGTTAGATATTTAAATAAGATGTTATAAAATGGTATGTATGTAAATTTCCCAAAACAAAATATAGATAAATTAGGTAGTAAAGAATGTAACCTTTGTGAAGCATCAATTACAAATTCCAGATGTAAAATATAGTTTCTTCTAGCAGCAAGCCAAAAGTACTGCCACGTATTCTGGAGAATCATTATAAGTTTCTACACTGCTCTACTGACATACAAGTTTCAATAGCAAGTGAAGTTTTAAGATTCAACTAGCGTATCAATCATTTAGTTTGTGTTTAGTTTAGAGGAATTAAGTGAAAAGGTCATGGTGTTTACCTCATAATTACATCTTCCGTTTTTGATTTGGGTGTCATTCTTAGAAAATTTATTTTATCCGGGAAATTAAAGCATTTGCATGTTTCTCTTCATGATTCTTTACATGAACCCATTGAAACAAGAGCAAATTTGAAGTCTGAATAACATTAGGTTGCATTCATTCTTCAATTTATTGTTATTCCTGCAAATCAAACAAATACTTCTCCACACAGTTTCTCTTCAGCCAAACAACTTGGTGAAAATTAATTTCAATTCATTCCCTTTACCATTTTACTTTTTCGTTTCATATCTTTCAATTCCTTCAAACCAAAGAAAACCTAAAGATACAACAAAGGGTTTGGGAAAAGGGAGACCTATATGGTGTATCGCCGCTGAATTTCTTCTGGTTGACATAACCAGAAAGGAGTTTGATGTAACCTCCACCACATTCGATATCCTGCTCAAACTTAATAGAGTACTGTAGCACAAGTGTTCTATCCTTGTTACTGAACTCGGGAATTTTTGCAGATAGTACAAAGTGCCTAGCATCTGGGTATGTCTGGATTCCTGGAAGCTTGCCAAAAAACATGTCAGCAGACGTCATTCCATCCATAATTAAACATATGGAATTAGCTAGACTTTCTGGCAGTAACATAGCAGAAGAAAGCTATTTTAAGAAAGTAAAAAACAAATCAATTTGAAAGGGTAAAAGTTTTATATAATAGGGTGTGCAATAATAATTAAAATAGAAATGATTAAATGACCTTTGTCATCTGGATCTGCAGCCCAGTTTCCCGCAGTGTGCTTGAAGGATCCGGCCTTTCCTTCACTCCTTTTCCAGTCCGATTTCACCCAGCGGCTCTCCCAACCATCTTTTTGGAAAAAGTAAAAAGAAAAAAGAAGAAAGAAGACCAAAATTAGTTTCAAGAGTTGTGATAACAGTAAGCAAAGTACTTGATTAAAATGGAACAAATGATAGAATTTTACTACCAATTGTAAGTCTCAATATCATCATCAGCATCACCAACATTAGCCTTATGCCAGCTAATTTATATCAGCTTCATGAATTCTCACTCCCCATTCATCCCTACTTATTGTTGTATGAGGCATGGGAACAGTCTGAAGGTGAATTTCTTAAGTTTTCACATAGTTTTGTGCAAGAAGAGTCCTATTTGCATAGAATTTCTCCTCCATGAAATTTTCTTATCGAGATAATGTTTTGGGAAATGGATGGCGCGAGTGAGTCCAAATCATCGAGATCTTTCAAAAGAGTCTATCTGCGCCCAAATAGGTCTTCATTTAACGTGCGTCGAGATTTTAAGTAGATTATTTTTAAAATACCATATAAAATTTTATTTATTTGATCATAATTAAAATACATATATACATTAATTATATATATGTCATTAATTTATATAATTATTTAAATAATTGTATTATTTTGTATTTTAAAATAATTTTATTTTTTTCTTTCTCTCTCTCTCTCTCTCACCTCTCTTTAAAAAAAAATCTACTCTCACCTAACCACTCTCTCACACCCAAAAAAAGGAGAGAAGACAAATTTTGTACATCCCCATGCACAACCAAAGCCTTCTCTTCTCCAATTTGACATCTTTACAGATTTTTATTTTCTCTCCCATTCCCACCCACGCATGAGATTTACAGATTTTTATTTTCTCTCCCATTCCCACCCACGCATGAGATATGTAGCTCACACTAGCTCTCTCCTCTCTAAAACAAGAAAAAGACTCTCTCACCAACCACCCCTCCCATCCACATAAAACAAAAGAAGAAAAAGATAAAAAAAGAAAAGAGATTTCCTAAAGCATTGTCAAGTACATGCAAGGGACTCATAGCTCTCCCCCTTTCTCAGTTCCTCACACGCAAAAACTCAAGCCCAGTTCTCTTCTGTACCTCCCTACCACTCTCACATTTGCATAAGATTGGATTGCATTGATTTAAAATGCCAGGTGGAGTTTTAGCTAGTAACCCGTTCCGAGCAGGGTGGTAAATCCAAGTCGGGGCTGCTTAGACCCCTGGTGGGATTTGAGTTATAAGCCCCCTCAATGTCTTACATTAGTTAGGTCAAGGGGGTTAGTACTTGGAGTACGATATGTCCCATGTAGATCTAGGATCAAGGGCTAGCATTCTGTTATGAGTATATCATTACATGCCTTATCATTGGGTGAGCTCTCCATTCTTGGGAGGCTATAAATCCCACTTATCCACATCACACTGATGACGTCTCTTCCATCCCTCTCTCTAACATACCTGACGTGTGATTTCTCTTTTCTTGATTTCTCCCCTTCTGACCGACTGAGTAACTACATGATCTTTGTGTGTTGAATAGCCCGTTGAACATATCATTATTGAATTATAAGAACCTAGAAATCCACTACACACCAACCAAGAAGAGAACAAAATAATATCACTAATCGAGAGTAATCTTAGGTCAAAACCTAAAATGTAATTAACCACGGTGGCTTGCTTGAGCCCCTGGGAAATCGATACTCCATTCGAGCTGATGTATTGAATGAGAAAAATCTCGTGACTTTTAAATCATATATATTAATATCCATCAAAATGTGTAGAAAAAACCACTATGTTTCATGGATAATTATATGTATGATTTAATCTACTCGTTCATTGGCCTGCTTGTGCAGAATATAGAGTTCTGCAATCGTTTTTCCTACGAGATAATGTAATCGTACTCTTTGTATTCTTGTTGTCACTACCAAAAATCTGTGGGTCTCCGAAAGGGATGCTCGTGGGGTTAAAATGCAATCTAGTCTTATGGTTAGAGGGATGGATAGACGCCATTAGTATGACGCGGATAAGTGAGATACTGAGATTTATAGCCTCCCAAGAATGAAGAGCTCACCTAACGATAAGCATGTAACGATATACTCATAACGCTAGCCCTTTATCTTAGATCTATAGGGCATGCACCGTACTTCAAATGCTAACGCCCTCAACCTAACTAATGCAAGAAAACGATGAGACTTATAGCTCAGATCCTACACGTCTAAGTAGTTTCGACCTGGATTTACCATCCTGCTTGAAAAGGAGCACCAAGTTAAACTCCACATAGCATTTTAAATGTATGCAATCCAGTCTTATGCAAATGCGAGTGGTGGGGAGGCACAAAAAATGAATGAGCTTGGGTTTTTATGTGTGAGGAACAAAAAGAGGGAGAGAGCTATGAGTCCCTCAACTATACGTGATAGTACTTTAGAAAGTCTCTTTTCTTTTTTTGTTTTGTCTTTTTATTATTTTATTTTATGTGGATGAGAGAGAGTGGTTGGTAAGAGCATATCATTTTCTTATTTTAGAGAGGAGAGAAAACTGGTGCGAGTTGCAGGTCTCAAATGCGTGAGTTAGAATGGGAGAAAAAAATAAAAATATGTGTGGATGTCAAATTGGAGAAGGGGGGAGGCTTTGGTTGTACTTGGGGAAGTAAAAAATTTGTATTTTCCTCCTTTTTGGTGTGTGAGAGAGTGGTTAGATGAGAGAAGATTTTTTTAGAGAGAGGAGGAGAAAAATAATTATCTTAAAATATATTATAATGCAATTATTTAAATTATTATATAAATCAATGACATACATATATGTATATATAACTAAATTAAGTAAATAAATAATTATATAATATTTTAAACATAATCAACTTAAACTCTCGACACGCGCTAAATGAAGCTCGATTTGGGAGCGGATAGGCTCATTTGAAAGATCTTGACAATTCTGACGTGCTTGCACAGCCCGTTTCACAAAATAAGATCTCAATAAGAAATTTTCATGTAGAAGAATTTTTATGCAAATGAAACTCTTCATGCAAAAAAAATCAGTAATTCACCATCACATTCATCACATACCTCCTCAAACATGATGATGAACGCAATGCAACTTACATAATCCAAATCCGAGCATGACGACGAATCAAGGTGGCCAGATAAGACTTAAACAATTGTCACACATAATCACATAAAAAATCAAGAATCTGACTCAATTAATAGCTCCTAAGGCCAACCACCATCACAATTGATGAAGGAATACCCCACTAAGTGTGGAGGCAAGCTCAAGAGTATGTGTGCTAAAAATGAGGTCAACATCACTATGCATAACTTGTCTAACAAATGAGTTCTTTCATGTTTAGCACTCAAATTCAATTAAGAAAGCTAGCCTAATTATAATTTGATTAAATTTTCCTTTAAATCTTCAGAATACTCTCTTATTGTGTAGCATTCTTGATGCACTTCATCAATTTAACCACTCAATTTTAATCTAAAAGTTATATCATCATAAATGATTTTGCTCTTTTATGCAATTGATCTAAGTTATTTAAACATATCACATTTAGGTATCAATTTATTATTCAATAATAGCGGCTAATATATATTAGTATTAAACAAAGATCGCATATAGTAAACTTTTATTTTATTAATCCTAAGCCCTTTATAATCTAAACATTCACTCATATTTAAATAGGAAGTAGAAAAATGAAGTCTCACCACTTTGAACTATCATCTACAAAATTCATAAATCAATATCCTATAAGAATCTTAATAATCAACGAAAAAAAATATGGACTTAATGCATATCCAATCATTGATCGCTCACGTAATAGTTCCACCATTAGGGTCTTAGCAAATCTCAATATCCAAATTAAACATATAAAACAAACCAGAGTAAGTGATGATATCATTAAAAATGACAAGAACATGCAATGAACGTCATTATGAAAGGATGGCTCTAAAATGGAAGTTAATCATTGGTGAGGTTAGAAATTTCATCACTAATAATGTTAAATCACTGGTACATAATAATTTAACGTACTTTTGAGATGAAGACCCAAATAACATTTACAAATTTTCCAAGTTTGATACAGGCTTCAAATTTCAATAGCCAAGTTTCATATCCAGGAATGATGGACACTGAGCATTGAGCAGCTTATCCAATTATGTCCATTGAAGTCGTACTTTAACTATACAAGATTACATTGCTTTCCCATGCTATTCCCCTTTAATAAAAATTTAGAAACTGGGGTATACTGAGACTGGTCAGCCTTGTGGTCATCTTCATACCAAAAACTGAACTTAAAGGTCAATTGACCAGCCAAACTAACAAAAATTGACTAATTTAACCAGACTTCATGAGGACTAGGCTTTTATTGTCAAGAGGAAAGGAAACAGTCAACCTTCTAGTTCACTTTGATTACCGGAACATGAAAGCAAAAGGATGGAAAGCTTAAACTGATTGATAATATTGAACTGAGAAAAATTGGTTCAACTAGCATTGTTGAGTGATTACTACATCTTTCAGTGTCTAGGTAGTTCAATTCAGCTTATTTACCCCATTTCCAAGTCTCACAAACTTAAGGAGTAAAAACAAATCACTTTTATTTCTTCATATTGCGTGTATTTCATAATTTTATAACCATAGAATTAGTTATGGTTTCCTAATGTCATGCTGAAATAAGGGCGCCTGAGATAGACCACAACCATATTCCTATTTTGCAGAAATTTGAATTCTTCCAGGTTACTAAACTACATTACTAGTGATGCAAGAGAGAAATAAATTGCTCACAGCCTTTCCTCTACCTTTAGGCTCCACATCAAGATCTCCTCTCAAATCATGTGTTGTTCATCACAAAGTCCCAGAATATGGGACACTTCTGTCAACTGAAATCCCTCTATCATATAAACTAAACTAACCAATTTTGCTTCTCATTAATTATAGGAAATGGAACCTATTCGTAGCAAAACTTGAAAACTAAAACAAAAATTGCATCAATAACTGGAATTAAAACTATTAAATAATGTTAATGGTAGAATCAGATAAATATTGTTAAAAAAGCTAATTAGGGATTAACTGAACGATTATGAAAGTAGAAAATGTCAATTATTGATACATTAATTAAGCAAAGTTTAATTGGGGCTATTAATAACTATGAAAGTAGAATAATAAATTACACTAATCATAGATTATATAGGATAGTTATTTAATTAAGAAAATAAATTGCACTGATTAATTATGTATTAAATAATAATTAGAATGACAAATTAATTAAATAATTAAGAAAATTAAACAAATTAGTCATTAATTAATCTTTGCTAAAATAAGTTACTCAAATTAGTCCTAGAATGATTAGTTAATTTATTAAATGAGAACAATTAATAAGCATTAGCTAGCTAAATTGCTTATTAAATAATCACTATAATACAAATAATTTCAATTAATTATCAACTAATTATCAAAAAATAATTCATCTAATTCAGCTAATGATATCAAATTACAAGACTAATTAAGGTAATTAATCATTGATTAATAAATATGACACTAAAAATCAATATAGAGACTCATAAACTGATCAAAACTACATAATAAAATTGTCTTAGGCCCTGTAATTTTTCTTTGTAGTTTTACAAGTAGAAAATCTCGCATCTTCTATATGTTATTGTAGTCGCCTACATCCGCGCATGATTTGTATTTAACACTAAGACAACAAACTCTCAGTCTACTACCAAAAATACTCTATCAAGTAACAGAGCTTCTCCACCATGCTAAACGAAATGAAATTTATCACTTGTCACGGGCCTTTCACCTTCTATGAACGATTAAGAAACCAACAAGTATTACCAGATGCATAAAAGAATGGGAAGATAGCAAAGAGCATTCTTCTTTTGAAAACTAATAATACAGACAAATTGCTCCATGGAATCTGTAAGAGTGAGAAACAAGTTGAAAAAAATCACCGTTGAATCGCTCTTCAAAGATGATCTCCGCCGCAGATGAGGAAAGGAGAAATGCAAGGCAAAAGCAGAGAATCAAGAGCTTGAGCTCGTAACAGGAGCTTAACTGAGAAGGAGCTAGGGCTTGATCTGCCATTTGTACGGGGTGGCCGAATTAGCGAGTGGGAGCTAGTTTATAATGGGAGTACGGTTAGTTAAAAAGGCCCTCCAAAGAATATTAAATTGCACAACGTCCCTTTCAGTAAATTGCATATTTGCCCTTATGTTTGAGAGGATCGAAGACTTCCAATGATGCGGATCTGTTAGAACAATATCCGAAATGGTGGGGTCCATTTGATTAGGAGCGTTGACTGACTTAAGAAGAAAATGGAGTGGACAATAGTCGTGTGACGTGTTTTATGTTCAGGCATCCAATAGTTACCTGCCACGTCAACTTCTTTGTATCACTCACTACGGCATAAAGGGGAAAACTTCTAAACAAAGTGGACTCATTAAAAAAAGAAATTGTAATCAACTTTTAATGGAGGCGACATACTCAACAATGTAAGCTAGTAAATATATAAATTGTTGCGTTCTGAAATATTCGTGGTGATTGAGAAATATAAAATTTAACATCTTAGTTTTATACGAAGATCCAATACATAATTAAATAAGAGAGAGAGTGCAGTATTCATAAGAACCACCAAAATTTTTACGTGGAAAACCCCTGAAAAGGGAAAAAAACTACGAGGCCTAGTCCAATTTAAATGAATATACTAGTTTTTGCAGTTGATTGCAAATGAGGCTCTTTATTCGAGTGAAGTCCTTGACTTGATGTAACAAATATATATCATACAAAGTGTATTACATGGTGAAAATAAGAAGAATCACTGTTGATGTGTTCGCTTGGTCGGAAGAGCTGTAGTCGATGAGCTGTAGTCGATGGGCAATGGAGGTCGAATGAATTGTAGTTGGTTGGCGACGTAAGTCAGAGGGACTGTAGTCTGCGGGAGATGGAGGTCATAAAGACTGTTGTCTGGCGATAAAGGTCGGAAGAACAACATCGGGCAAAAGTTCAACATCGGATAGAAGTTCGACGAATGTCCAACGAAGGGTAGAAGTCTGACATCGGGTAGAAGTCCAACGGAAGTCCGGTGACGGGCGGAAGTTCAGCATTAGGTAGGAATCCGACGACGGGCGGAAGTCCGATGTCGAGTAGAAGTATGACGGAAGTCCAGCATTGGGTAAGAATCTGGCAATGGGTGGAAGTTCGATATCGGGTAGAAGTCCATCGATGGAAAGAAGTCCGACATTATATAGAAGTTCAGCGTCGGGTAGAAATCCAACTACGGTTGGTGGACTGGTAAAACTCTGGCGTCAATCAGCTACCGGGTGAAAGTCCGGCAGCAATCGAGGAGTCTATTACTTTTTTTTTTCTTTTCTTTTTGCTTCCTTGCTTAATTTCGATGTTAGTTGTCGACCAGACAGAACTTCGACGTCGGTCGGCCGCCGGGTGAAAGTGTGGCGGTAGTCGAGAATGAGTCTATTCATTCTCTTCATTTTCTTCCTTCTCTTCTTGATTAAGCCTCATTCTTCCCCCACTTTGGGGTCCTCCTTTACGAGAAATGATGAGTCTATTTGTAGTTTTTTTAGAGTGACATGACTCGTAAATAGGAGAGAGATCTAGAGTAAATTGGGAGTGGTTTGAATGGACGGCAGATGTTGAATCCCTTGATCATGAACCATTTATTAAGCATTTGAATGCCTAAATGATACCATAATTTTATGATCATGGGCTCGTTGGATTCGTCTCGTTGAGCCGCTCAATTCGACTATAAGCATGCCACATTTTGAAATTGTTTTGTAATCCAAATAATGGATTGAACCTTTCAAATACACTTCGGGTCCTTGATTTTGACTCATTTGGGCTTAGATTGAGTTGAATTTGATGTCGTTGGGTTTGTATTTCCGAGACGTTCAATTCGACCGAAAGTTAGTTGAAATTGAAGTTCTGATTATCCCGAATTTTATTTTTGAAATTTCCAACTTATTTTTTCGTCGAGATTCGTGCCCGATCAAGATAATTCTTTGATGATATATCAGTTGCCCCTCTATTTATAAGTTTCATAAGTCCGAAAAATACAAGTAGCATTTCAGATTTTTTTATAGCAAAATTATAATTTTCAAAAAAATCATAATAAATTTTTATTAATATGAAAAATTAATGACTCAAATTAATCATCAATTAATCCAAATAAAATTTAACGATTAAATTTTAGTTAAATATTTGTCTATTAATTAGTACAATTCTATCAAATTTAATACATTTAAATATTAATAAACATAGTTTTAATCTTAATTAGTGTTTAACTCATACCAAATGATTCGTTCATTTTTTATAACTCCGTTCTTTAGGCTAACTATAATATGCTGCTATTAAGGCTTCGTTTGGGACGGCTTTCTTACTGCTTCTTAAAGCAGCTTTTTAGTTTAAAATTTTTAATTTTTGAACTAAAAAGTTACTTTAAGAAGCAATAAGAAAACCATTCCAAACGAAGCCTTAAGTCATTCACTTATTTTCCTCCTCCGACGATCTTCGCGCCGCCGTCTCCTCCCACATCCACAACCTCCTCACCAAATACAAGGGCGATTGTCCACTAGGATGTGAGCAACGAGTTGCTCCACTTCGACTTCTACGAGTGCCGGCTGATGTACCCTAACTCCTCATTGGATTTCTTCGTGGAGGCGCAGAGGGCAGATCAGCTGGTTAGGGTTTTCATGAATGATTTTAATGTGGTGGAAGGGTGCATTTTTCTCTGCGATGCCTTGCAACTCCACTAGGGCATCGCCCTAGCCGTCGCCTGGAGGCATCGTTCGCTGTGTCGAGGTCTCTGCTTCAGCTGTTTCGTTGGCCCGTGGGAAGTTGCTCTTCTCTCTGGTGGGATTTGCTCGTGATGTCATATTCCTTCAAGCGTTCTGATCTGGGTTTTCTCACTGGTAAGACTCATTCGAAATCTTTCAAAGAGGTTTTAGCTTGTTCGGATACCTTCAATGAATTTCCTGATTTGAAAGTTACTACCCTAAGGGGGTTGCCAGCGCTTTGGATTTCTGAGAGTGAGGTGCTTCATCTTGCTAAGCCCTTTGAATATGCTTTGGTTGGGAAGTTTCCGCTTAGCCTGCCGGTGCTTGATGCGATTAGAATTTTTTTTTTCAACCTCAAACTTTCTGGTGAGTTCTCGGTCACTATTTTAAATCCGAATAATATTTTGATCAAGCTTGCTAATGACCTCGATTATGGTAGAATTTTTGCTCACAGATCTTACTTTGTGTTTGGGTGCTTTATGAAGATTATAAAATGGACCCCTTATCTTGACTTGTCAGAAGAATCCCCTATCGTCCCCGTGTGGCTTTCTTTCCCCGAACTTCGTCCCCACCTTTTCTCCCCGCATTCGGCTTAGGTTCTATCTTTGGTCGGCCTATTCAATCGGATAATGCCACTGCGGTGGGTTCTCGTCCTTCTGTGGCGCGTATTCTTGTGGAAATAGACATTTCTAAATCTCACCCCGATTTAGTTTAGCTTGGTCCTGATAGTTTGGGTTATATTTAAAAGGTTGTTATGGAAGGCTTGCCTAGTTTTTGTTCTCATTGCAAAAAAAGTGGGTCATAAAAATTCTGATTGTGTTAAATAGCATCCTTTGTTGCAGAAGGTTGCAGCCCCTGTCCTGCCGAATCCCTTTGTGTTGGAAGTGGTTTTGCCTCAAGTTTTGAATGATTTAGCTATTGACAATGAGGGGTGTGGTAATGTGTGCTCTCGTGATGATGGCTTTCCTGTTTCGGTGGGAAAGTTGGTGGGAAATCTGGATCCTTCTCCAAGTGTTGCCTTGGCCGGTTCTCATCTTGTGAGACCTTCTGATAATATGTTGGGTTCTTTTGATAAATTGGGTGGTGTTACCCAACTAGCTCTGGATGTGGCTGTTTACCCTCGCCGATATAGTGGTAAGTGATAATGTGATTTTGCCCGTGGTGGTTAGTCCTCATGCTATACCGTCGAATACTGTTCTACCTGTAAGTAGGCCCTGTATGTTAAATGAGGAAGTTGTTGAGCGCTTTGCTCTGAGTCCGTTGGGGTAGGGATGTGCAATTGCTGTTGCTTCTTCGGACTGTCTTGATTTGCTAGATGTTGCCAGTGTGGTGCAGCAGCTTGATGTTTGGGAGGGTGATGAGAATCGTGATGTTGGTGATGATGGTGCTGCCTCTCCTAGGGGTGATTTTCGGCCTGGTACTATGGTTACTTAGCCACTTTCTGATGGTGACGATCCTTTGTCTAAAAGTTTTGATGATCCGATTTTTACTGTGCTTATAACTATTGTACTTAGGGATGTAATGCTTTCTCACCTATCTAGGGATAGTGAGGTGTTACATGGTGATTGGCTTCATGATGAAAATTCATATGATGATGAAAGTTTCATTGAGGATGATTCAGCTTCCTGGGAAAATTTCGACTTGAGTATCCTTCAAATTGTTGACGCTGACTTTAGCAATAAGAGTGTTAATCTCAAGAAGCGGAAGTCCAAAAAGAAACGAGGCTAGTTGCGGTGGTCTTCTTGGATGGCCCATGCCTGGCAACCAGTGGCGGCCTGGGTATGTCTTTTTTTGTTCCTGTCTTGCTTTCCTCCTTGGTGTGTTGGGTTGTTGCTGATTGTTTGGCGTGGATTGATGGGGTGCTTTTTTTGGCTTCTACTCCTTCAGTTGGCCTTATTTGGGTTTTTGTTTTGCTTGGGTTGCTTATTTGGCTATCGTTTGTTTCCTTTGCTTGTGTATCGTATTAGTTTTGATCATTAGCCCATAGATTTCATTTTATTTCTTGTATTTTTAGGGGGCTTTTGATTCTTTAAGGTCTGATAATTTCTTTTTTATTATCGTGTAGGTTTTTCCCAAAAAATAAAAATAAAAAATAAAAAAGTCATTCACTCATTTTTGCTTAGAATGAATAAACAATTGCGAGAGAGAAGTTTTTTTAATAATAATAAGGTGTAAATGGAAAGGAATAAACAATAATATTCATGGCCAAAGGATGTGCCGTTTGGAGCAAATGGAAATCAGTTGCAGTTATTGTAAATTTTTTTTTGGGTGGAAGGGACCCACGACACCATTTTTTTTTTGGACGACCGCTATATAGGCG